AAACCCTCAACCTCTACACCTCGAAACCGCAAACCCTAGCCCTAACCCCGAAACTCCTAGACTGACTGGGTTCTTGTTACAGGATGCAGTTTAAGTTACCATAATAAATGGATCTATAGTAAGTAATGTGGTTTATGGATCATTTACTATGGTAACTTAATTCCAATCCTTTACCAAGAAGCCAGTAAATTTCCACCCGGTGTTTCTAGGCGCCGGCGACTCCTCGGCCATGCCGGTCGAGCGCCTCGGCGGAAAGCCCCCCAAATCGGGGTACTCTTAAAGGTACTACACATTTGGGGTTACTACATTTAGAGGTATGCTTTGCATACATCGACATCCACATCTAAATCTGTATCTATGTGTATAGCTGTATCTACATCCTATATCCAAATCTGTATCTGTATCTATATCCACGGTTGACGATATAAATCCTGCATTACCCACAATAAGGAATAGAGCATTACTACCATAGTTTAGGGTCCTCAATGTAATGCAGGATCTATGTCAGCAACAGTTTGTCTATATCCCTGTAAAGATATCTTTATATGAAGGTAGTATGTTTGAAGGTATTACGTCTAAAGCTAGTACATCTAAGGGTCGCATATTCACAGTGGTATGGTTAAGTGGTTGATGCTAAAGGGTGCTACAAGTTCCTCTAAGGGTGCTTTCATGTTGCTCCTTCAGGTTTAGGATTCAGGGTCTGGGTGTTTTGACTCTAGGGGTTTAGGGTTTAGGGTTCCTTTGTGGGTACTATGTCGGGGTTCCTTTGCAGGAGAGTTTAGGAACCTCATAGAAGCCATGTCACAGCAGTCCTACACACCCCTGGTTTCACTAGATTGCATGCCTCGCAGCCCCAAGCCATTTTGTTGCTTAAGGAGCCGAAATACTCCCACGGCCGTATAAGTATAGAAGAACTGCAAGAAGGCCTGCAAGCAAATACAACAGGTAAGAAGCCCCATGCAACTCTTTAGGAAACCTAGAAATCGAAAGCCTTCGAATGACACACCCAGCCAACACTTAAGAAGCCCCGGAAGATCCTTACCAAAAGAACGCTTCCAAGCACGCCATAAGACTCTTGCAAGAGACCCTCGTAAACCCTTCAGAGACCCTTGAGGCCCTAGACAAATCTTTAAGGAACACGTGAGCCCCCGTGCAAGCAACGCTAGTAAACCCTTAAACCAAGCTCGAGACATTGCTCACGAGAACTGCTTGAACAGCACCCTAGACAACCCTTCCGGAAAGACACTCCAGAGAATCCTCACAAGAAACCAGACAAAATGCTTACAAGAAACCCGACAGATGTGAGGAAACAGCCCTTACGTTGAACTCTAAACCCTTAAACGCATCTAAACCCTAAAACATACGTCATATTCTTCGTCTATTGGATACGATGTAACCCAACGACTGCCAAGCCGAAGCTTCCATTCCTCCCTTAAACTAGAACCTACGGTTTATGATACATTACCTTAATGGCCTTAGACTATGGAAATCATGGCATATTGCTGATTATGGGTAATGCAGGATTTATGTCATCAACCGTAGTATCTGGTTATACAGGGGCCCAAACAATTGCCAGAACTATTCTGATGGGTTCCTTACTATAATTATAGTATCATGGGCCCCAAAACCCCCATCCTAACTGCTAAGGCCCTTGTATTTAGCCGATGCAACTCCCACACCTTATAGATCCCTTGAAAGAACCCTTAGAACCCCCTAAACCCGAAACCCCTGAACCCTAAACCCCTCAACCCCTCAACCCCTCAACCCTAAAGCCCCAAAACCCCAAACCCTAAACCCTGAACCCTACACCGTCTGACCGACTGAGTCGAGGAATCGGGGACCGAAACCCTAAGCCTATAGATCCCTTATAGATCCCTTAAATTAAAAGAACCCTAGGTATTCCTTAATTTAGGGGGTATTGGGCTGTTTGGGGAACCCTTAGAACCCTTATACTTCCCTTAGAGGAAGCTTCGTAGATCCCTTGAAAGAGGCCTTATACTTCCCTTAAAAGAAGCCCTTACAGATCCCTTGAAAGAACCCTGAGAACCCCGTATGACTCTTAAAGGAACCCTTACAGATCCCTTGAAAGAGCTCTTAGAACCCTTCGAAGAACCCCTATACATCCCTTACAAGAGCCCTTATACATCCCTAGATCCCTTTCCAGAGCCCTTACTTCCTTGTAGATCCATTGAAAGAACCCTTAGAACCCGGAATGACCCTTAAATCCCTTAATTAAGGAATATACCTTAACCTACCAAACCTTACTTTTTTGTAGGGTCCCTGCAAAATCCATATTAGGGTTATTAGAACCCGGAACGACCGCCTGACTCGAGGAATCGGGGACTGCCTCCTGGCCAGCCGGCCTCGCCGCGAGGATGCAGCGATGTGAGGTTTGAGGAGTTAGGGGTTTAGAGTTTATAATGTTTAGGGTTTAGGATTTAGGGTTTAGGGGTTTAGGGTTTAGTGTTTAGGTTTTAGGGTTAAGGGTTTGGGGTTTAGGCTTTAGGATTTAGGCTTTAGGCTTTAGTAGTTTAGGGTTTAGGCTTTAGGATTCAGGGTTTAGGGTTGAGGGTTCAGTTTAGGATGTAATGCAGATTCGCATCCCCCAAAATCCTGAAGTTCTTGAAGCGGGCAATGTAGGCTTCAGGAACTTCAGGAGTTTGGGGATCCCCTAATAGAGTTACACCATAACATATTCGGATATGTGATTCCCTGATTGTTTTGCCACAACCTGTCCCAAGACCCCGTTCTAATCATGAAGGGGTGACCTGAGTGCAGAACGAAACCTATCGCAGCATTGGGGTGTGGAATTCAAGTTTTCGGTTCAGTAGGGCCCCCGTAGGGCTCGCAGTTCAGGTTTACGCGACATCGCAAAGAGTAATCACTAAATGCCAACATCCACCCCGCACCCTGCCCGGGTTCCTGTTAAGGAATCCTGGTTCAAGCTGCCAGCAAGGATGTGACGTAAATTATTGTTAGTCTTGCCATATTAACGTTTTGCGGGCGAATTAATCTGGCCCGTTCAACAGGAACACATAAAGGACGCCGATTCCAAGTGTAACAAAACTTGCAGTGGCCCTTGTAGACCCCTTTAACCGGAACCCTCAAAGGAGCCCTATTCTAAGGCTTACAAACTTAGCTAAGAAATTATGGTACCCTTATAGATCCCCTATAATAACCCTTGTAGACCCCTTTAAAGGAAGCTTATTCTAATTATTCATGCTACTCAAAAACCTAGCTTACAAACTTAACATAGCGTTATAAGTACCAGAACCCCAATTAGGGTCCCTTTTTGGGGTACTTATAACTCCATAAAATACCTGCTTACTGAGTCCCCCGACCCTCCAAGTAGCTAAGAAATAAGCCCTAAACCCCTAAACCCTAAATCCCTAAACCCTTAACCTTTAAACCCTAAACCCTAAACCCCTAAACCCCTAAACCCCTAAACCCTAAACCCCAAACCCCTAAACCCTAAACCCTAAACCCCAAGCCCTGAAATAAGTCCTTCCTCGGATCGAGGCTGAAGCTCGTGCGTGGGGATATCGAGGCGGGCGGGGGCATGTGTTAGAACATACTATACCTGCGGCTGATGGTATAAATCCTGAGGTTCCTTTAAAGGAATCTATAAGGGTACCTTTAAGGGGTTCCTTTCAGGGATCTATAGGGTTTTAGGATTTAGGGTGTAGGGCTTAGGTTGATGATATAAATCCTGCCTAGACTATGGGAGTTATGATATATTTAATGAGTAATGCAGGATTTATATCATCAGCCGTATCAAATAACACTATACAGTACTGTACTGTAATATACGAAAGCATACTATACTACACCAAACTACTAAGTACCGGTTCGGCGAGGGGTGCAGAGTTACACTGAACCCAACGCTGCGAAACTGGCAACAGAACCCAAAGATGCACGCAAAACATCCCTAAAACCGTAAGCCTTATCAGTAAATACAGTAAATCCCACAGCCCCGAAACCCTGCAATACGGTTGATGATATAAATCCTGCATTACCTTAAGGATCCTAAACTATGGGAATTATGGTATATTCCTTATTATGGGTCATGCAGGATTTATATCATCAGCCCTAGTTTTGGTTTAGGGAGTCCAAGGTATATGGGAGTTTCCCAAAATATGGGACCCTAATACAGTAGGCCTAAATAGTAGAATCCTTATTCTAAGCAGCCCAGAGTAAGGTACCCCAGGTACCCCTAATTTTCAGAAACTCACATATACCAAAGCCCTGCCAACCCTTGGGTTCAGTCTTCGGAGTTTAGGCAAAGTTGCAACTGCCTAGCTTGAGGGTTTAGGGAATAGAAAATCGACAGAGGCATTTGTACTCGTATGTGGTGAGTTCACTGATCCTCCATCTAGTCCTGTGGCTGCTCACTATAGCAAGTAACTCACCCTACACCCTTAATGGAAGGAGAATGCGCAAGATCCTGCATTGCTGCATCAGCCATACGACAAAAGTCTTGACATTCCCATGGTCCATGGTACTTAAGGTCATGCAGGATTTTGTCCACTACGGTTGATGATATAAATCCTGCATGACCCATAATAAGGAATATACATAATTCCCATAGTTTAGGATCCTTAAGGTTGGGCTTCGTTTGGATGTTTTGGTCCATCCCGTTTCGGGCTCAGGGTTGCTTTGGTTTCCTTGATTCTAAGAGTGCTCGACCGGGCCGTCGGTTTGGCGAAGCCATAATTGGGACCTTAAAGCCAGTCCTAGAACCCTAAGCCCCGCTTTGCACGAAGGTCTTGCGTGATTCCTATCCATAGCCCTCAAGTTCGGAGTATACGGTAGATCTAACAGAGGCCCCCAGTGGGTTCAGGTATGTTCCTGAATCCAGGGGTGTTGGCTGAGGAGCCGACTTTGGAGCAAACAACATATAGGGTTTGATGTTTAGTGGTTTTCCCAATATGTTGAGTCCTCAAACTTACATCCGTTTTTCGTCGTCAGCATCACTATTTTGTGTTTATTTCCACGATGGAATGGCTTCGACCGTGGACATAGAAGCTGCAGGCACAGTTCGAAGCAGTACCTTCTAGCAGCACCACGATATTGTTTAGGGTTTCCAGGGTTCAGGGTTCAGTGCACGTTTGTGTCGAAGGCCTTCGTCGTGACGCAGCGCCACAACCGCGATCACGAGGTAGACATCAAGCAGTTGATCGACAACGTCTACAAGCCACCGGACCGGGTTGAAGCTCTGTAGCCCATGGATCAGGGTTCCTTTTTGTTGCTAATACTATGCTGGACCCCAAATCTTTCTTGCTGTTAGCAACCCTACAATAGTCAAGACCCTACAGCAATAGCAGGTCAACAGCATGCAGTAAGCAAATTAAGGCAAAGATGGCCAGCACGACAAAGCACGAGGCAGTCGCCCCCGTCCCGTGTCCCGAAGTGGGCAAAGCGTCCGAACAGCTAAAAGGTATCTTTCGGGTCCGAAAGCTACTGCAAGCCCTAAACCATGAATCCGCACGCGACAACCCTAATATAGGAGCCTAGCTAATTCCAATACTATTGTGGGGGTTCCTTATGATAAATATAGTATAATATGCCCGAAAACCCTATCCTAATTATTAAGGCCCCTACATTATAACTCTAAACCCCAAACCTTAAACCCTAAACCCTAAACCGTATACCCCCAAACGTATCTCCGAAAGCCACTATACCTCAGTCCAAAGTCAGCTAAGGGTGTAGGGTTCAGGGCAATGCTGTCACTGTACAGTAGACCCCATAAAGTTGGAAACCGGATTAGGGCCAAATAGTGTTGGGATTTCCTATACATTACTTTTAAGGATGGAGGCTATTGGGTTTCCAACTTTTGGGCTTCTACTATAGGAGGTTCACAACATGGATAATTCCGAACGTAGGTCCATGGGAACAGTGAAGGGACATAAACTGAAGCGTCCTGTCCTGAAGTTCTGAATGTACATGCCCGCACGTATATAGATGTATTTAGAGTTGTGTAAAATGCTTACATGTACACACGTGTACATACATGATATGTATGTGTACAGTAGTTTTTACCTACACATATGCATGTGCTATAGTGTGTTTTCTATGCATGTATGTGTGCCCCTTGCGATGTCTCTGTCTTCATGCCAGAATCCAATTTGACACAGCAGCACTTCCAGCACAAACGGCCTCATTTCCAAGCTCACGCTCGCTCTTATCTTCCTGAGACCCTAGTTATCCTTACGTATCAACCAAACTGTATTCCAGGTGTCGGAAGAAGCAGTACTCATACCCCCTTCTATGCGCGATATATCTAGAGTATAGCGGGCCTCACAAGCCTAAACCCTAAACCCTATACCCTAAGCCCTAAGCCCTAAACCCTAAACCCTAAGCCCTAGCCGAAGCCCCTATATTGGGTCTGGTCTGGGGAAGGTTCAAGGCCGAAAGCTGTTACAGTGAGAAGCACCCAGAGAGCCCAATACCCTTTATTCATTAAGGAACATAACTTAAATCATAATATGAAGCCCTATATATTTTAAGCCATATTCCTTAATTAAGGGGTATTGGGCTGTCTGGGCATTTTCCTTTTGCATCCCGCTCCGAAAGGGTCCAAAGTACCTTTATGGTAGAATGTAGGGTTCCTAAATTAGGAATTACTATAGGTTCCGATATTCTTTGGAAGTATTATAGGGTTCCTATATTCTTCGGTATTATTGTAGGGCTCCGATATTCTTAGGAATTACTATTATGATTTGGGGAAGTATCTCCCATAACAGTACTTTGGACCCTTTGGGGCTGTAAGGGGCTAATGTAGAGGCCTTGGAAATGGGAACGGGGTTTTGGGCGTAACTTCTTGTAATTATAGTATAACACGCCCCAAAGCCCTATTCCATTTATTAGAGGTCCCCTATATACATGACTAAGCAACCAAAACAGGAACCTACCTGCTTGATAGTATTTTGTCGTGGGTTCCTTATGGACGACTTAACATTCTCCGAAGCCGTGTTCTACAAGCTAGGGCCCCTCTCACAAAGCCTGAAAAGACACATGACAGCTTGACAAGCCCTATACCTTTGCTGCAGGAGCCTGTTCTAAATTGTAATTATGGAGGTCCCTGGTAGTTACTTTCATAGCCGAAGCCTGCAGGACGAGAAGAAGGTCATCCACTATGTTGCCTGGTCCAAGAAATTAGGTAAAAACGCCCGGTGTACGAGGGATCTGAAAATACAGGATTCATAAGGGTGCTTTAAGGGTTCCAACAAGGGCGCTAAATGGGCTTGAAAGACGAAAAACCTTTTGGGGCTGAGGGGGTTGAGGGGTTGAGGATGTAGCGCTAAGGGTTTTGGAATTAGATGTTGTCGCGATGTTCGCAGTACTTGCCAGCTATAACTCGACGCATGCGCCAACGCCAGCTCCTGTAGCCATGGTTCCTTCTTGTACTTGAGATAAGTGCAGCTACAGCTTGGCTACAAGTTCCATGTACATGGCCGTTGAGGTTCAATGTTTACGACGTGGTCTGTGGCAAAGGTTTTGGGCTCAAAAGGCAGGATTTAACAGTAGCTTTGTGTCAGAAGTTCTTGTGCAGGATATCTTCTGGTGCTTTATCGGCCATTGGGGTTTTGCTGAAGGGCCCATACCAAGAAAACCGCAACAGCCTCTGAGGTCAACGATGGCCTGAACCGCGCACTCCGCGGCAACCCACCGCCGCGAGAGCGCCCAGCAGACCACGAGGCGTCCGGTTTAGGTTTGCACGTTCCGTCATTAAGTTTGTGCATTATTTTGTTCGTTTGTGTTTATGTTGCTGTTATTTGGTAGAGACTTTGGTGTTGGTTGTGTTCCTTGTCGTTAACTACTGTCTTTTGTTAGTCTGCAGTAGTTTTATTGCTGTTATTGTTGTGTCACTGAGGTTCCTGCTGGCAGGATTAGTCATGGTTGAGGGCGTTTGTTTTCTGTTGGGTTGGTTATGTTACATTGACATTGCCTTTGTTCTTTGTTGATTTCTTTAGGGAGAGGCAAGAGCTTGGGTCCTTCGCAGGGGAGCTGCCAGACAATGAGGGGAGTATACTAGCTTGAACACAATTAAGGTGTATGAGGTTTCTGATCAGGGTATACAGGTTTAGAGGTTCAGCCCAAAAACCCGAAACCCGAAACGCATCAGAATTCGAACGGCTTTGTTTATGCTTTAAAAATTGAAATCTACCTCATTCATTCTGTTGGGCCCTTGTAGGTTCGATAGTAGGCTAATCAGTAAGATGAGCCAGGATCTTTGTCAACATTTGGCGGGTTCCCTGTACATTCCTGTTTGGTTTGTCATCAGAAACTGCAACAGCAGTAGGTTTGCGCAGCTTGAGGTTGAAATTGTGCGTTCCCCTTACTGGAATTGCAAATCCAAGGGGAGTTGAAAACTGCTTTTGGCTAGCGTTCAGGGTTCAGGGCTTAGCGAATCAAGCGTCAAAGTGACAGTGTACCATACAGAAATGTAGATCCCTGACTAATGAAGCCCCCTTGTTGAAGGGCCGAAATCTTGAGATTACCATGTTCGTCCTTATTCAGGCAAGGGGCGGTGATTAAGCCGGGGTTGGCGCTCTCCTCATGCTGCGCCATAGACCCTAAAACCCTAATCCCTGAATCCTAAGCCCTAAACCCTAAACCCCCAAACCCGAAACCCCCAAACCCTAAACCCCTAAACCCTAGCGGCGACCCGCGGGACGTGCCAGGTGCATTCTGCATTCCTAGGTGGCAATTTGAGAACCGGTTCCCAATATGGTTCCTATAAGGTACCTATTCATAAACACTTTTCAGAGCCTCAACACTACTACAACCCAGAATCACATGGCCCAGAAGTTGGGGTGTGCATTCTGCATTCACGCCATAAGTAGGGGCGTTGCTGCAAAAGAAGTTCAGGTCCTTATTGTCGCCGCTTCGTGCAAACAAGGAGGGGTGCATAAAATTAGTAATCTTATTCCCTGACACCCCTGTGTAATTACGGTACACAGCCCCGCATTACACTGCCCCTCCCCCCCCCGCCGAAATCGCTTGTCCGGTCATTTAGCCATCTTCCCATAAGCCCAAGCTTTTTCAGATGTATCCTGGCTGAAGGCAGCTGAATTCCTAGTACCCTGTTGCCCTTTCCAGTTTGGGCTCTCCTGAATTAAAGCTGAGTGTTAGGAAAAAGGCTACCCTTATTGGTAAGTCAAAGGGGAAAAGGAGGGACCCTTAATGGGGACCCCTACCCTATTGGGCTATATCGTGGGTTTGTAATGGCTATATTAAGGGTATATCCCTAGGGGTCCTTATCAAGGGTCCCTCCTTTTCCCCTTTGAGTAAGGGACTACTCCGGAACCTAGGTTCTAGCCCCTGCAGGTGCCCAGATATGAGAACTATTGGCAAGCGAGGCGGCTTGGATTTTGGCTTAGGTTTCATACGGCCTTTTAATTGGAGGTTCAGGGGTAGTTATAACCAGTGTTATAAGTAAGTTATAACCAGGGTCATAAGTAAGTAGGATTACTATAGTTATAACCCATCATAGGGGACGTAAAGCCGCACTTATAACTACTCATGAACCCTAAACCCTATACCCTTATAGAATCCCTATAGATCCCTTTGAAGGAACCCTTATAACTGCCCATGAACCTCCAAGTAGGGTTTAGGGTTCAGCGTTCAGGGATCCAGGAGGCCCTGCATTTGCCCTAAAGTTGTTGCGCAAAACTAGGGACCCCAAAAAAGCACATAAGCATAAGCATTTCACACGGATATCCCTACCTTATTGGTCTTCATCATAAGGGGTTTATATGGGATATCCCTATCCATGTTTGCTTATGTGCTCTTTTTGGGCCTTAAACATCATCAAAACATCCCTAAACTCTACAATATACCTACACCCTGAGCCCTAGACTCCAGAATACCTGAACCTTAAGCTCTAAACTAGGCCTTAATCCCTGAACCCTCAACTACACCCATGAATCTCTACAACATCAGGACCTCTGCTAAGGAATGCCAGAGTCCTCGACCAGGATCAGGGTTTAGACTTGGCGTTCTTCTGGTTGGCTCTTAGGACTTTAACTTTTTGGGTCTCTATATGAGCCATAATAAAGAGTCTAAAAGTTGAACTTTTCGGTGGGGTTCAGAAGTGAGCCAAGTAGAGTTCAGGACCATCGGCCCTGTTCCCCCAGCTACGGCGCCGCAGGGAATGATGCAGCTGGTAAGGTTTGGGGTTGAGGGTGTGGAGCTAACGGTACAGAGAACCTTTCACCGAAGCCCTGGAAATTCTATTCACCCGAAACCTTTGAAACCTTAGACAAAGGTTTAAACCTGCCAGCCCAGTAATCGCTAAAGCTATCAGTTATCACGAAACACCCCGTGCTCACGCCTTAAGCCCATCCCGTAACTGTATTAACAGACCTGCAAGGCCTTTCACCCTAAAGCCCTAAACCCCCAACCCAAAATTTTACACCCTAAACCGTAAACCCTTGAACCCCTAAACCCAGATTCCTGGAAGGTACCTCATGGAGGCTCTTGCGGATGCGATCGCGCTCGTGGAGAACTCCAACGGAGGCAAACTGCTGCTCGGCCGCCTGAAGGGTACCGGAGGGTTCAGCGTTTACTTAGGGGTACTTAGAATGTTTTTTTTAATTTTTGGTTACTATATATAATCCCTAAGAAACAGCTAAAATTACAATTTTGCTAGGGTTCCAAGTTCAGCATAGTTTAGGGCTTGAGGCCTGAATTGGTAACACACGGGCCAGGGTTCGGCATAACTGGGGACTTGCAGAGATTGGCACGCTCTCTGTCTCTCTAGTCAAATCCCCAAGCTGCACAGTAAAGGGTCCTTTGGAACTCCAAAAGTGTCCCTCAAAGGTTGTGTAGAGGGTTTAGGCTTGTAGAAGCTAGGTTTCCAAGTCGTACAACTGTTGCCTCCAAGTCGTACACCTTTTTCCTGTTGTGAGTTGGGGCTCCTCCTGTAGAAGTGGACAGTAGGACAAAAGGAATTCCCTCGTTTGGTGGGATTGCTTGGGAACCAGGCTACAGCCAGGTAAAACTCTGGAAGTTTATCGTGTTATGTAGCCCTAAGGGTCCAGGTACCTAATAATCATATACTCGCCCAAATGGTAACCTACGTAGTTACTATCGTCCCAGAGAGCCCGATACCCCTTAATTAAGGAATATGGCATAAAATTTATAGGGCTTCATATCATGATTTAAGCTATATTCCTCAATTAAGGGGTATTGGGCTCTCTATCCTAAACCCAAGTACCTAATTATTGGGTCCTTTACACCCTTGGGGTAGCAGCCTGGGAGTTGCGGAGCCGCAAGACCTTACCCCGGTAACCACCCAACTGTAAACTCCGGAGTGAAATCCATATCGTCTACACTGCACCCTGCATCAACATCCATGTACACGTTGCAACATCATAGGCTCATGCCAGTATACCGTTTTTCACTGGGCGGGCTTAGGGTTCAAGGCTTATGCTGATGCATGAAAGTCCTGCACGAGCTTAGGTACCCAACTTGGGCATAGTTGCTCTTAAGGATAATTCAGGAGTTTGGCCGTCAGAAGTCTCAAGGCTCAAAGTGGCAGTTAGTGGCTTCCGCAAAACTCAAAGGCAACTTTCGGAACCCCTCGCCTTTGTCCCATGAAGAGTCACCTGAAGGCATGAACAGACAAGATCTAGGTTGGATTTTGGGACTTTTGTCTTTTCCTTATTTGGGTTTACAAGGGACCCTATATATAAATATTTGTTCATGGTGTTTAAAGGCCAACCCAGAGATGCACTTGAGCTCAGCAAGCCGGGTAGTCCATTCAGGCACGACTTCAGCAGCAACAGAGTCCCAACTATCCAGACAACCTCTGATACGGTTGATGATATAAATCCTGCATGATCCATAATAAGGAGTATATATATATACACATATATATATATATATATATATACACACACACCATAATTCCCATAGTCTAGGGTCCTTAAGGTAATGCAGGATTATATCATCAACCGTAGGAAGCCTGAACGCTGAACTTGAGGAGTATTTCGAGCCAGCAGCTCACCTTCGCGAACCCCCTGAACCAAGACCCTCGCATGCTTGCATGCCAAGGAAGCCGTCGAAAATGTTCAAGCGCATGGCAGCCCGACTGCATGAGAGGGTTTCAGGAAACCCGATGAAGCTCTTACAAAACCTAGGATGCCCAGTAGTACCCTTGTTCCAGGTTCCCTATAGAGTTACCCCATACCCAAAACGGAGCCCTTTTTATTCCCAGGTTGCTGGGCATCCTAGAAATAATTCCTCATTCCCTGCGGGTCGTTGTACAAAGGAACCGGCAGCTCTGGGTTTAGATGGGAGTTTCCGAAAATGAGGGGTACCCTATCTGGGGGTCGTTATTATAGGGATCCTACTATTTGGGGTACTATATTAGGGTCCCCTATTTTCGGAAACTCCCATATAAATCCTGCATCACCCACAATAGGGAATATACCATAATTCCCATAGTCTAGGATCCTTAAGGTAATGCAGGATTTATATCATCAACAGTATTGTAGGTATGGAGTTACAGTAGAGGCCCAAAGTTGGAAACCCAATAGCTTCAATCCTTAAAGGTAATGTATAGGGAATCCCAGCACTATTTGGCCTTAATCCGGTTTCCAACTTTATTGGATTTGCTGTAATAAAACTCTTCCATTCCATAATGCGTTTCTAAGAAGGCGCTTACATTTTGGCCTTAACACAGAGGCCCTTACACAACCCTTGCAAGCAACTCTGAAACACCGTTATGAAACCCGAAACGCCTATACATCCTGAACACCTAAACCTCTATGTTATGAGCCCCTTTAAAACCCCTCAAAGCCCCTTAGAAACAGCTCAGGACTTCGACAACGACGGCTACCTTAGCATCTCGGACCTCCGCAGCGCTTGCGAGAAGTTCAAGATCCCGAATTCAAGCGCTTCGGGCTGAAAGCAGATCTCTTCAGGATTTTAACGGTTTTGAGTCAAACATCTTTGCCCGCTTGACCCTAAACCTTAAACCGAAAACCCTAAACCCTAAAACGAAACCACCTAAACCTTATATAAACCCTAAACCCTAAATCTCAAGCAAAACCTAAGCATGACCCTAAATTCCCTAAACCTTAAACCCTAAATCCCAAACAAAACCAAAGCCCTAAACCCTAGACAAAGCCAAAGCCCCAAACCTTAAACCCTAAACCTTAAGTTTCAAACAAAACCTAAGCCCGAAACTATATAAACCATTACATAAGCCCTTAAACCCTAAGTCCCAAACAAAACCCAAAGCCCTAAACACCCCAAATTCCCTAAACCTGAAGCCCTAAACCTAAATCCAAGAAACCAAAAACCGAAAGCCCTAAACCAAATCCGGCTCCTTCCTCGCACAGCCTTGTCCTAATTTGGGGCCCTGTACTACTAAGGGTACTGTGTAGGAACCTTTAATGAGGGATCTGCTTTTTGGATCCTCCCGGGGGTCTGGATAGTAGAGAACAGCCTTGTCCTTTTTCATGGTCACCCCCAAAAGAATAAACAGACCGGCTGGGGGTCACCTTTTGGTTTGGGGTTTGGGATATATACGGGTTTAGGTTTTTCATGGTTCCCCCAAAAGCAGACCGGCTAGTAGACCTTCGTAAATAATTCCTACTAAGGGATACAGGTATAGGGCTCTGTCTATTATTTCTAAAAGGACAAGGGTGGCTCGCATGTCCTAAGCCGTTAAGCACCTGCATCTGCTACTCAAGCTTCAAGCAGGATTATCGGTTTAGGGTTCAGGATTTATGGTTTAGAATCAAGTTTAGAATTTAGGGCTTAGGAGTTATGGTTCAGGATTTAGGGTTCAACACCGCAAACTGCAAAACCTCAGCTCAAAATCCGAAAACCATGAAGCCCCAAGCCAGGTGCTGACTTGCATGCGCTGTTCAGTCTCCTGGACAAGAGTGATAACGGTGCTGTGGACATCGGCGAGTTCACCAGGAACTATCAGGCCGCTTGGGGCCGGGGCTTTTAGGGTTTAGGGTTTAGAGGTTTAGGGCTTTTAGGGTTTAGGGTTTAGAGGGTTTAGGGTTTAGGGGTTTAGGGTTTAGGGGTTTAGGGTTTAGGGGTTTAGGGTTTAGGGGTTTAGGGTTTAGGGGTTTAGGGTTTAGGGGTTTAGGGTTTAGAGGTTTAGGGTTCAGGTTTTCTGAACCCCAAGACCTAAACCCTAAACCCGGGTTTTGTGGGTGTGTGCATGGGCTGTATCGGGGTTTTGTTATTTCGGATTAGAGGCTTGGGTGGGTTTTGCGTCAGGGGTTGTCGACAAGGCTGGAGTTTTTGTTTTGGAGTCTGGCGTTTAAGGCTCGAAATTGCCTGGTGGGTGGCTACAGGACATTGTAAGAGACCTGGACCCTGTAAGAACATTCTTTTTTAGGGTTCCTTTTCATGGTTTCGTTTTTGTGGGTCCTTAAACAAGTAAGTAGGTTCTTTAGGGTCAAAGCTTCAAGCTGTGAGAGTCTAACACCCTGAAAGATACAATAAAAGCCTGTAAAAGACGAGCTCCCCCAAACTCTGTGCATCATGACTGTGGCGTGAGTATACCTGCAAAGCCCCTGGTGCCCTCGACTTGTCAGCTCTCAACAACCACGTGGTTTAGGGTTTAGGGTGCACCAAGTACTAATTTCTTTGCGACCTATTTTCAATTTTCCCTAGCGTTGTCTTATTATAGGACCTTAACCCTAAACCCTAAACCCTAAACCGTTACGGATTAATGCTTAAGTCCCCCGCGAAACCTTGAAAATCTAAGCCCTAAACCCTAAACCCGAGACTCGGCTCCCTGATGCTTGCTTGGCGGGTCGGGGAACTTAGTAAGTTGTTATTGTACAGAGTTATAAGTTATAAGTACCAGAACCCCAATTAGGGTCCCTATTAAGGTACTTATAACTCTATAAAACAACTACGCACTAAGTCCCCCGACCCTTCAAGTGCTGCGAGGTGCACCAGGGGTCCCTCCTGGATTCCATGATGCGGCCGATCAAATCGGCTTTCTCGCCGTGCTTAGCTTGACTTTCGTGTTTCTCGGTTTGGGGTTTGGAGTCTAAGCCCTAAATACTGAATTTCTAAGTAGAGTAGAGTTTAGAAGTTCCCCAAACTCCTTACAGTTGCTTGACTTTAGATTTCAGGGTTTAGGGCTTCCAGGGAATCCCGCTGCACATTGAAACTATGGTGCTTAGTTCAGTGGATTTCTTGGAGGTTCATGGGTAGGCAGAAGCTAGGTTATAAGCACTAATAATTAGCTATAACCCACATCAGGGGACTACCCATGGACCTCGAAGTTCGAATTTGGGAGCTGCTGAGATCTCGTTGAGGATATTCCCCGTCAATGGGCGCCGCCGGCCCCATGCCGAGACTGTTAGAGCGGTTGGTTGCCTGGTTTAGGGTCTAGGGTTTCGGGTTTAGGGGTTTAGGGTCTAGGGTTTAGGGATTAGGGGTTTAGGGTCTAGGGTCCGCGGTTTAGGGTTTAAGGGTTTAGGGTTTTGGCTTTAGGTGTTTAGGGTTTGGAGGTTTAGGGTTTAGGGTTCGCATTTGCAGGCCGATCGATCCTAGGACAGGCGCCATACTCCAACTGGCGCTACCTCCCCGGGGACTGTCGGAAGCACGAGATCGCACGGCGCAGACCAGTCTTCGCTCGCATCAGACTCAGCGATACCCGAGCATCCCCTGAAGATGATTGTTGCGGATGCAGTTTCTTATGATGCCTTCACGGCCCATGGCAACGTGAAGACTGCATGGCGACAGGCCGTAGCAGCCCGGAGATGGGCCGAGTGCCAAGATCTGCAGTCCACGTTTAGGTTTTAGGGATGGCAAGTGGTTTAGTAGTTCCGCCCTGCACCCCATGCCACCCCTTCCCCAGCTCTCGTGCTATTTGCAGGGCTATGAGCGCTTCCTTCCGTAAGCTGCAAGCCTCTGAACCTCTATCAACCTATACGTCCTAGATCCTGAACCCCTTTTCTGAAACGCTCCCCTAAACCCTAAATCCAAATATGTAGGAGTCATTGTGATTGCTAACGGTATCCACTCATGTCATGCTCCCTGCTTCCAAACCCTTCTCCACAGTATTTACAGAGGCTCCTACATTCACTCAAGCCTTAAAGTAACGGCTATACTGAGCCCCTAAACCCTAAACCCTTCTGCAATAAGTTAGTATCTTCCGTCACCCTTAAAGCCCTAAAACCTGAGCCCCAGGCGAGATGGCAGATGAAGCACTTATACTGTCAGGTGCTTGGTAGGGAATGGATTATGGGGCATGTTGGGAATTATAGACGGACGACGGTAAGGATCCATTACCCCACTCCATACATTACTAAGAACCTGACAGTATTTTAACGGTTGTAGTGATCCCTCAAAGTCACCTTCTGACCGCCACCTTTGTCTTTTAAGGTGAATGGCGAATCCCAGAAAGTTGGAACATGGGTGGGTTTAGGAGGATTATTGCTAGGATCCTTTATACTTTACCTTAAGGGCATAAGGGTACTAAGGTTCCAACTTTCTGGCTTCTACTACAAACCCTACAGAAGGGTCGATCCACAGTCGACTGCTCTCAAACCCTAACCCCCGAACCCTACATCCCTAAAGCCCTAAAGCCTTAAACCCTGAACCTAAACCTTAGCCCCTAAGCCCTAGAACCTTAAGCCCTAAACCCCTAATCCCCGAAGCCTCTAAATGGCAGGTGAAGCACGAGGGCGGTGTGGAGTTTGGTGGCCCGATCCAGGCCTTGGCTCGCCCTGAACTCCCGAAGCATTGATGTAGGAACCTCACTTACTTCCTTGACTACTATTTGCTTAAGAACCACCCAAAAAATAAAAAAATGATAACCCCTATATTATCCCTATAAGGAATATATTTTTTATTTTTTGGGGTAGTAGTTTAGGGTTGTATAGAGGTTACAATAATTGCTTGCTACAGCGTTCTATAGGGGGCTACTATAATGATCTATAATGGTTCTTATAAGTGTATATAACCAGGTTTCCCAGTAGTACCCTTAAAGGGCTTCTTAAAGGGCTGCTTAGAGGACTCCCTTGTTAACGCCAAATAGTAGGAGAAAAAAAAGGTACCCTTATTGTGAAGGAAGGCTACTGGGGAACCTAGATTTTCAGGAGCCCTAAGGGGTGCTGTTGGTGTACATTATGGTATACTTATACATACAATCAGCTAGGAACCTGGTTTTGGGGGTTTTGGCGGTTAGGGTTTAAGGGTTTAGGAGCGTAGAGTTTGGAGGTTCAGGTGTTTAGGTTTTAGAGCTCTTGTGCCTAATGTAAGAAGGGTTTTGGGGGTATAGTACTGTACTTACGATGGGGAACCCTTAGGCAAAGTACTGGTGCATATTATGGTATACCTACAATAATGTAGGAACCTGATTAAGCAACCCTGGGCCTAAAAACCCAAAATAGTAGGGTTCATAAAGGAACCCTAATTTTTCTTAATCAGGTTCCTACAATAATAGGGAACCCTTATGAAGATTGGGTCAAGGCTCCCTGAACTGAAGACCCGAAACAGCAAGCAGGGTTTAGGGTTTGAGGTGTGTGTTTTCGGGTTTAGGATCAGGGTTTGGGGTAGGGTGTTGAGTTTTGGTTTTAGGCCCAGGTTTCGGGGCCACAGTGTTTTCAGCAAGGGAAGCCAAGCCCCAAAAGCTCAAACAATGACTAGAACCATTCCTAAGGGTTCCTCTCAAAGTTATGGTATCATATACCCCTCAACACCCATCTTAATTATCAAGTCTCACAATAAGAAGGATCCCCCTCAAAAAATAGTATAGGTGAATATCAAGGCCCCTATATCAGGCTTCTAAGAGGCTTACTCGGGGTCAGAAGCGATTGTGAATTTGTTGCCTTACATACAACTTATACCCGATCATGATGTCCCCTGATCGTTTGAAGTAAACCGCTTCGGCATTTGGATTTGTGTGTCACAAGAGCTTTC